AAAATGTGTAGCCTATTAAAATAAAATAAAATGGCGTCATTCACTGGCGCTTTTCCTCTAGCCTATCAGATTACCAGAAACTTATTTAGAATAATTTTTTGCCTTTTTGGCCAAAAATGCTCTTACCAGAAATTTACTTTTACTTTAATAACACTGCAGTTTGCTAACAGCAGTGCTAACCACCAGCCCAACACAGTTTAAAGGACTTCGTGTCGTAAATTTAGTGGTAATCTAGAGATTGCAAGATTGCAACAACTAACTGATAACCCCTTGACCTCAAGTGTAAGAGAATCTGATGCCAGAGAACCTACCACCAGTGTTTGGTTTTTCCCCTTTCTCTGCTACTGTAGAAACCTGGTTCAACATGGCACAAACCTCCGTGGAAGAAGGACACACCTTTAATTGAAAACATACCAATGAATATTATATTCCATTTCTGCAAAATCAGCATCCTCCTACAATGTTACAACACTGGAACCTTTATTAACTACAAACCCTGAAACCACTCTCCTTTTTATGAAAACAGAAGAGCAGGATTATATAAAATGGTCCAGTACGATAATCTCCTTGTTTATAGACTCGAAGTTTTTTCTCTCTCCGTAGTCCCTGAAAAGGTAACACACCCAAAAAATGACCTGCAATTGATGAGCGGTGTGGAAGACGCGCCAAACATGTCTAAAGTTTACTTTTATGTTTTGTCAATGAACCTCGGTATTTACTGTACATGTATACTCTTCTATAAACATTCACCAAAATCATGTCCTGTTCTTTCTTATTTAAACGCTTGGCTTCAGCAATCATCCTGGTCTGTCGTTGCGTCACATTTGAACCCCTGCATACACAATTACTCTGGTTGTTTCAGTTTGGATGAGTATAGCCCTAACAGTAATATGTATTTATTTCTTATCTTCCCTGTGACATTCTAATTGCGCCTTAAAATCCAGATATAAGTTAATTTAACTAAAAATATGAACTGATTTACGACCAAAAGTAAACACTTTTGCTATAGCATAGCTTATAAAACAACCAGATTACACCAGATCCTGATTCACCTCACAGGACGCAGTGCACCGAGGTACTGAACTGACCCTTTCCTTCCTCTTGTGTTTTCTTGCTGAAATCAAATCAATCTGCAATCAGGATGAAAGTTGAACAGTTCCTCTTAAACAAAGGTCTCTTAAGGTCTCTTAATGGTGCATTAACAAACAGCAACCTACAAATCCTACTCATTCTGCTTTTAAAGGTGGTGTAATTCTGCAGACATCTGATACTGTGACATTATTCATAGGGTGGCATGAGAAATATATTCTCATTTAATCAAATATATCAATATTTGGTTGGACATTTGCCCCAAATGAAGATATTTGAACTCAAAAACATATCATATAACATCATATATATGGTGTGCCACTATATCATAGTAATGCACTGGATATAAATATCAAAAGATCAGAAAAACTACCCAAAATACCCTTTTTTAAGCATTTAATCAGAGTGCCCTCATCAGTTAGGGCTATGTTACAACACGAATGATGAGGTCTCTATTAAACTTCCTACATCAAACAGCAGAATGTTTTTCTGCAGTTCCTCTCTCGATATAATTTATTGTTCATATAAGGTCATGCAGCCATGGTCTGGTCTGAGGGTTTGGCCACAGTCAGACTCTCCCCCTATAAAAATGTCACTCTCTTCTAACCACATTCAATGCCTTCCACCAAGAAGGAAACAGAGTCGGTCAACAGGATTTGTCTCCCCACTAATACAGGTAAAAACATTTTTCTCTTGGCTAGATTTAAGAAAAATCATATCTCTAAACAGAAAATGTATTTAATTATATAATAATTAATTTTATTTTGCTATGTTCGTCTGTGTGTAGTGTTGTAACTCATTACTAGTGATAATATTACAGAAATATAATTACTTTCCCCAGTGACTAGTAGTCTAACTCATTTTTCAGTAATAATATTACAGTTAGCCCACCCAAAGAAAATAGTTATTTTACTTTTCAGTTAAACTGTCATTCTAAAATGGAGGTCAGAGAGGTGCAGTCATATTTATACATAGAATTTCAATAAATTCCTTCTCAAGAAAAAGAAAAAGAAAAAGATTTGGCAGATTTATTTAAATTACACATTTTAATGTTTCATGTAAATATGCAAAATCTAAACATTAGAAGTAAAACTATCACGAGCAGCTTGTTTTGTGGTGAAAGCTTGCTTTTTTTAATTTTAAAAAAAACTGCTGAAGATAGAGACATTATGAGATCCTCTATGCTGATGATGTTTTTTAAAAACCCTCAGATGGCGGGCCTGTGCTGGCTGGCTGTAGTGCTGGTCTTGTTGCTGTCTACTGGAAACAGTTGGGCTGTGGTGGACCAGAATGAACTTGCAACAATCGTATTTAATATCGTGCCCACGTGAGTCAACTTGTTTAATGTTCAGATTTAACTCTCATTAACATTGCATGTCTATAAACCCTGCTGTTGCATGATTGTGTTTCGGGCCTGTGTGTAAAGTAAGAGTGAAAAAAGAATTTCCCCTTGGGGATTAATAAAGTATATCTTAATTAATACCTGACACATTGATTAGATATCTGGATCTGGAATTCTTCTTTTTACATGATTACTTTCCATTGATTTTGTGAACTCCTCTGTTAATCCGTCCCTCCAGGAAGTTACAATGTTGCAATCGCAACAATTCAAATTCAAATTCAACCAATCCCTGTGTGACCTTGCAATTTGACCAGTCATTGTAGTTTCTTGCGCAAAATGTCACCAAACTCACTTCCTTGTTTATAATTGTGAAGATGCAGAACATACAGACATGTATGATGCAATCGCCTCACATTTACCCTCCAAACAGTCCGATTTTATTCTCACTGAAACAAGTTGTCAGTTTGCAATGAGTTATCCAAAAATTCTCAGGGCTTTAATTAGTCACAGCTAACACCTGCTGCTGCAGTGAAAAAGGGTCTATTTGGAAAGCAGCAAACTTGTCTGTGTTGAGAACAGCCAAGTGAACTAACGCAGAGTGTCCGTTAAACACAGACCATTGTCTGTGAGCAAGCTGTCCTAGATCTTAAAAAGGTCCTGGACAATGAATTCTTATAAGAACCTTGAGAGTGGGCTGTTGTTGATTGTCTGTGTCTGATATTCAGTCTTTTATAATCAATGCATCGTACCATCTATCAAACTCTCTGAACTTCTGTTCTGTATCAAACGATCAAACATACCAGTAAAAAATTTGTATCTGTTTCCTTTGGCAGGTATAGACCACACTACCCGGTCAACGGTAAAAGGTTAGCAAGTAATGAATTAAACTTAACTCATATAGAACTGTTTAAAACTATAGTTACAATGTGCTTTATAGCAAAGAGAGATGACTATAAAACCAGAACCAAAAACTGACAGAACAATGCTACATGATACAATGCATGCCCTTGAGGATTTTTCATGTGTCTATTTTTGAATTCACATTAAATATTACATCTGAAGTTCAGGACAGATAGATTATCTTTCTGTTGCTTCTACTTCTTAAAAAGTTTACATTTTGTGTATGTGTTTGTTCCTTTTACAGTAGATCACCCATGTTCAGCCTGGCTGTAGCCGTTCCATACGACGATAAAACCAAAAAGTATGATATCAGTCAAGTCTTTAACACTGACTCTGCAAACTGTCACTCAAAAATGTAAAGTGTACCCTGGCCGTAGAGTGGTTGCAGCCACTGTTCTGAAATGGCCTGATGTTGTGAAATGGTGTCCTAATGAACCTGTGCAATGGAAGGATGTTCTGACAAAATGTAATCAAGAGTCTATGACATGGGCTGAGCTGAAGCAGATGCGTCAGGATAGTAAAACTGAGAAAGAGTGCCTTGAATCGGTTTCGAATCGTAGAGCTGATCATGCAGAGTACCGTACTCTGCAGCACTTCAACTTGGTCAACAATCAAAATGATTTGTTGCTTTTCTACGTTCTTGCTTCTCCATGTCATGACAAATGTGCAGCTGAGGGAGTATCAGGGAATATTCTCGAAAGCGTTAAAAAGATTAAGAATTGGAATAACTATGCTCTTGTGTTTTCCGATGTGTTCCAGCCCCCTGGTAAATCCGAACTTGAGGAGAACCGTGAAGCCCTTGAGCGGCTTGTGCAATCAGTTGGTCTGAGAAACATATTCCGTTGCAACATAAAAGGTACACCTGAGTGCAGAAGCTGCTCTGCTGGTAATCAAGTTGCCCCCTATTGTTTTGAAGACAATTCCCAGCCTGGTCCCAGCAACAACTTGCCATCCACTTCACAAAGCAACAATATTAATCCAAGCGCAGGGGTGTCCACAAATGTTGGCAGTAATACAGGAGGAGGTCAGGGTGGCAGCGGCAGTGGAGGGGGCAAGTGCCGCCAAAGACGTCGCAAGGGCAAGAAAGGGAAGAATATTAATGAAGGTGTCCGTAATACAGATGTTGACAGTAATACAGGAGGTCAGGCTGACCTTAGCAGACACAAAGCCAGAAAAGTGGGTGGACGCAGAGTAGGGAGAAAACAAGGAGGTGGGGGGAACAAGCAGAAGAGTAAGAAGAAAACACAGAAAAACAAAAGGAAGAAAGCGCAGAGCAGAGGGACAACACAGTGGAGCCAGGGGGTAGAGGAGAGGGCTAAACAGCAGAGTGAGAGGAGGCAGAAGAGTAAGCAACCAAAGAGAAGGGAGAACAGGCCCAGGGGTGCAGAAATGCAGAGGATTAATCAACCACGGAAGACAAGAAAGGACAGCGGAGTTAGTGGGAGGAGAGGATACGCAGAATGAGCTTCAAATCTATGTATACATAAACGGCCATAAGTCTTTACCAGAGAGTTTGCAGAGAGGGGACATGAAATGTACATAAAATCTAATTGGCCACCCCAAGTGCCACCCAATTCTCCTTACCTGTTCCACTCCACTTTAAGAGAATAAGACAGGCTCTGTTTTATAGCTTGATTGAAGATATTGGTATCATATGAAACTAGATGACCTACCGCATCCACTGCTATCAACATGACATGCTAGCATCTTGGGCAGGAGGGCAAATAATGCTCAAAAGTTAGGCTAAATTTTAAGCGATGGAAAACCTGGCATCTGATCTCAAGATATCTTAATGAAAATTGGTTCTATGGGTACCCACAATAGTGTATTTGAATATGTCTGCACACTGGGGCCCATAAACAGTATTGGAATTGCATAAATTGGGAATGACTGAAATAATGAGACACGTATTTCATGCCACCCCTGCATAAGTAAGTGCCTCTCACCCCAGTTTAAAAAAAGTCACCCCCGCAATTATGGCTCCTATTTGTATGCCTCATAGTGCTACATTAGTAATACAGAAACTACATTTCCCAAGAGGTCCAGCTTCAGCCACCAGGGTGAACACAGGGTGATGTTATGCATACTGCCAATGATTAGGACTAAAATTCATACAGTACTCATGTCATTGTCTACTTCTGTAAATCCTATGATTATTTTTGTTTTTGATTAAAGCTTGGCTCAGCATCCATTCTGCTCTGTCTGTGTGTCATTTTGCAGCATCACTAGCATCATTTCACAGGTTTGACCCCTGTAGTCCAGCATATTTTAAAGACCACACATTTCTCTGCTCACTTCTTCCCTCAATGTTTTATTACATGAAAACAAAACAAAAAGGTTTAGGATCATGGTCATGGTTTGGCCTGAAGGTACACGTGACGTCAATTAAGCTGACATACTTGTTGTTTATCAGAGAGTGAAGGCCCTGTAAAATATATGTCTTTAAGTTTACATCTTAAAATAAAAATCTTAACTTAGAAAGAAGCAATTTCACAGTTTTTCTTACACCCTGCGACCCCATTTAAAGCTCAATTATTTCAATTAATTAAAAACACATTTTAGTTTAAAAAAAAAACACAATTTAATCATTATTATTTGATAACATTTTAAAACTAAAAAAGGTGTCGTGTCTGTTTCAGCTGCTAGAATTCTTCCTCTTCTACACAGACAGTAGAAACCACACTGCGCCTTCTTCTCCATTTCAGCCAAATTAATCACCATCCTCAATCTGCAAGTCACGACGAGGCAGAGTTGGTGTTACACTCTTTTTCTCAGGGGGGCAGTCTGTGGGCAGAGGGCAGGGCAGTTAGTCGGGGAGTTGGTCAGTTGTTGTTTGCCAGAAGACGACGGCTTTAGAGCATCCCACAAACATCTTTCCCCAACACACAGGTAAAAGAACATCTTAAAATCTAATGCTCTGTGTGTGCCACCAACATATCAATTAAAAGGGGAGAGCTGGTAACTCAATACCATGTAATATTTCATACAGATGTGGAACGACTTCAGTTTAATTTGACTTTGAACGTGTGGTTACTGTCGACCCTGTCAGTTGGGCCAAAAGTAACACAGCAGTTTAAACATGAATTATATAAATTATTGTGAGTTATATGACGATTTCCTTTTTAATATATAATTGCAAACACATTATGTCCTTTATCTTTAATTAATCTTATCTTATCTTTGAGAACAATAGTATAAACAGTAAATGGTTTTAAGAGAACATTTAATAGGATAAAGTGTAAAGATTTGACTTTACATTACACACAATATTCAGCTGACATGATTACCAACATTATTATTTCAACTTTATTCATTAATAAAAAAAATGTTTGCAACTGAAAAAGTTGCTCTAAATCAATAAATTTGAATTTTTATCGTAAAATTATTTAATTAATTGTATGAGTTACTTGCTATGAGTGTGACTGTGCAAAGTAATTTTATTTGATTTAAAGTTGACGTCACTGTAACTTTGAGATAATGTAAATAAAACATATATTTATTGTTCTTTTCTGGGGTTTTTTAGAGTAACAGATCCTGTGAGAGATAATAGTGAAGGTGAGTTTTCTGCATTGTTTAATCTATAACCTTTAACTGCACTGTGAAAGTGAAAGCAGCAGTACATGAAATTATATCTGTGTGCTGATATTTTATTGGCCGTTAGTATAAAAAATTGATTATTGTTTTAGCCGATAATTACGTTCAATAATGTGGAAAATGGACATCACTTAAAGTCTTGGCTTCAGCAGTTTCATCAAAGAATAGTGCAATTTCTTTCGCTGTTTAGAAACCAAATTTTATTTATGTGATCATGTCTGCGATGCGGTTTAGCTTTGTGATCTGCGTTTCAGAAGTGGAGCGTCTTCAGAGCGTGTTGCCTGTCCGACGTTGTTTACTTGTGCAATTTGTCCTTAAAAAGAAAACAAAATGATATTTCTCCGCTTAAAATCTCCTCTAACTCTGACTGATTGACTTCTGGTCTGGTCACACTGTCAATGTAGCGTGAAATTCCATACGGAGTCTGCGTGGTATTTTATTTAGAAAAATAGACCGGACTTTCTGCTTCCTGTTCTGTGCTGCGGCTGGGACTGGTGGGATTTGAACACATGCTCTATCACTCGTGATAATCTTGATATTGATTTGGGAACAATGACATGTTACACTGTTACACACTGGACCTTTAACAGCTCTTCTTTTTTCATAACGTGTGCTATAAAGTGATGAGAATTTAGTTTTCCCTTTTCACTGACTCTCTTATGTAAGAAATAAATTGATCTGTGTGCAGATGGCTGCCGTGTTTTGGATGGCAGCGGTGCTGGCCTTTACCCTGTTTACTGGAAACAGTTTGGGTGATGTGGATCAGAACAAGCTTGCACAGTTTGTACGAGGCATCAACACAGAGTGAGTAAATGTTCTTCTAGTTCCTGAAAGTACAAGAAAATACAACTGATACATGAATACAGTTGATCTTCAGTCACAAGTTGTCACTAACTTCACCCCAAAAACCCTTCAACAACTTATTACCTGATAATTATGAGATAAGATTTCCTAAAAAATAATTCTGCTGTTTCTAAATTAATGACTTCTTATCTCATTATTCTCCCATTTCAAAAAAAAAAAAAAAACACCATCCATAAATACTATACCATAATCTATCTCCATCCAGTGTTGTATCTATACTGATACTCTGACACAAGGTAACACTGTGTGTCTGTTTTCTTTGGCAGGTACAGCATTGAAGGCCAGGTCAGTTGGGCTGTAAACATCCCCGGAGACCAGGATGTGAACAAGCTTAAGAATATCTTTAAAGAAGACCCCGCAGAAACTGTGAATGACAAGGTTTCAAAGGATGAAGTGTACCAAGGTACCAATGTGGTTGCAGCAAAATTTAAAAAGTTTCCCGAATATACTGAGCATGCAGAGGCACGTGTTCTGGACAATATGAAACCTTTAGCTAACAGAGGTAAAGGTAAAATTCTGCTCTTCTATTCATACCTTTCTCCATGTGGTGCAAAGTGTACAAATACAGACAATGGGAACAATATCCTGAAAAAGATTGATACAGTCTGGAAGAACTACCAATGGAAAGACCACGCCTTTGTGTTTTCTAAAGTTTTTGACAGGACCAGTAAAGGTACTGTGATTAAAAAGACGGAAATAGAGGCCGCCCTTACTCAGCTTGGAAAATCCAAACTAGGTCACAAAATATTTCGTTGTTACAAACCAAAAAACAGAGAATACAAATGCACTAACTGCTACATCAAAGGCAAACTTTTAAATGAGTGTGTTGACAACAATGTGTGAACAACAGGAGCTGTGGTGGGGTTGTCATGGAGTAGAGCAGTTCTGGGGACCACACTGCTTCAGGCTTTAACTGGATCATATTTAAAATGGTATTTTATAAAATATATTTAGCCTTATTGATTCTCCTTTAACTAAAAGCTTATTACACTGAGGACCAAAATACACATAAAATGTTTTCTTGTGCTTAGATAATTGTGATTATAAAGTGATGTGATTCATAAACAGTTACAGAGCATAAAGCTAATTTTGTTCTATACTCAAAATGCATAATTGAAACTAATGTTAAACCTTGATGTTTGATGTATGTTAACCTGACTAATTACGGGACTCAATCATTGTATAAAGCAATATTATACCCTCTGATTTTCTGTTCTTTCTGATTAAAGCTTGGCATTCTCATTCTGATCTGTCTGTGTGTCATTTGGGAAATACTGTCATCTGCTAACCTGTTTGAACTCTGTAAGTTCAACCTGCTTTACTAACTTATATTTGAGGTCAATCACACCTGAAGGGAGGTGTGCTACTGCAGAACAAGACTTTCTGAAAAAACAAACAGGTGTAGATGATAGGAAAAGTCAAACTGTGTCACATTGGTGTGCCTCACCCTCATTGATATAAGTGTGGTGTGTTCAGTACAATTCAACAGCACCACAAACACAGTGTAGTCAGATTTCAATTAAATAAAAAGACATTTTAGTGAAAAAAACACATTATTTCATAATATTTGATAACATCGATTAAAAAAGTGTCTGTGTCTGTT